CGACCAAATTCGGAGGGGTCAGAACGGATTAACCATATTTACATTGAACCTTACGGGAAAATTTGATTCAGGTCGCGACCAATTCGGGTCGTGACCAGAGTCACGGGATGAATTAAGTTCGTGAACCGAGGTACCAGTGTACTTTTGGATTGGAATTCATTGTAAGGGTACTTCTGCACTGGCTCCAATTTCAGCTCCACTGAAGCAGTCAACAGTCTCCCAATCTACACAAAAGAAAAAGGGGGAAAAAAACTAAAAAAGCCTAATTAATCTATCACTTACAAACAGGGGAAACAGACAAAACTCTGATAAATTTTGCTCTGGTATGTCAAGTCAGTTTTTCCATTAAAGACATGCAAAATCAACTGAAATTCAGGAATTCCAAGGAGAGATAGAGGTAAGAATGTCCTCCACTATGGATCACTTACAAGGTTTGTAGAGCCTTACCTACAAGCTAGGAGTATTTTGCAATTAGGGTTATACCACAGCTGAGTAAAAATCAATAGGCTCAGCTGCTATTCAATTCAACCAGTATTGTAGAATCAGAGATCCAGTGATGCTTTGGGAGTGATACCAAGTAATCTCCTAAGAATACCAGTAGAGTATAGTTGGCTAAAATCCTGATGCCTTTAACTCAGCTGTTACTGGCCTTAACCCAATGAGAATACTGGCTTGAGTATGTGTGTCATACAATAGATTATCAGAACCCATGGGTGTACAATATTGCAATTACTTCTATACCACTAAAAAACCAGAGATACAACAGTTTGACAAATGTTTTTTACATGAAGCAGCCTCTGTGTGGTTGAATTCCAGATGGTAACCACACTTTAGGTTGAACATATCAAGCAACCAGTCATCATTCCAGGTAAATTAGAAAGATTTTCAATTAGTTCTTCATTCTCCTTCCCCAAATCAATGAGGTCCAAATGACAAACCATAATCCTGTGTAGTGCCTATTCAGATGTAAGTACCAGTGAGTTCAATGAAAAATTATGAGTACAAATAAAAGTGTCCACCAGCAGGTAGCTGATGTGTTTCTTTGAAACAAAAATCCAATTTCAAGATTTAGGTAATGATTGTATCATAATAATTTCAGTGTTACAAGACATTTTACCTTTAATTTGAATTCTTCATTCTTCTTTATCTTGCTAGTTGAATGTGACGGTTGTGTTTGTTCCATTTCTAATTGTTTCTGCAAAGGGAAGACAGCTATATAATACTCAGAAAAGTTAAAGGTGGCCACAGTTAAACAAATAAAGATTGTGGGCTATATGATCACAACACATTTTGCTTCCAGAACATTGGGAATGCTGCCTACTTCCATTCCTAAAATTTGTCAGGTAAAATTCTTAACAACTATGGTTTATTCTCAAGAACCTCAGTAGTTTTTAGAAAACAAAAACTGAGATTCTCTGCATGACAAAATTCTCTGTAAACAAGGAAATGACCCTATGAAAACTTTTTTTAAACTTGGTTTCCCAACTACCTTCTTCACCTCCACCATCCCCTCCAGGCTGGCTTTTTCATTCCTATGGGGTCTTGGAATGCTGGCAAATGGTGGGGTGGAAAAGAAAAGAAGCTTTGCTGTCCACGCTACTCTGGGACCCACTGCAATTTCTTTTCAGGAAGCCTTGAATAGCATATGCAACATTCATCTTAGTCACTGATCACTGCTGCTTCTCAGAAATTATGTTCCTAGTAGGACATCTAAAACCTGTCATTCGCCCAGTTGTTGGTGGATTTGCATGGTCCCAAGCCAGGAAGAGCTTTAGAAGAGCCAAAATCATCACACTGAATTGAGTCCATAAACAATCCACATACCATTACAGCTGAGGAAGCACTGGTAAAAATCAGCTGTAAAGCCAGCTATACAGTAAATTTTCGTGAACAGTTTATTGGTCTTCCACCAGGCTATTTGTGTGGCCAGGTTCCAGCTGAGTACTTTTACAGTTTCACAATACGCAGAAAGGCTGCAGGCAGGCAGGTAGTCTGTGTACTGTCCCAGATGCTCAACCAGCTCCCATTACCAATGGCTCCATCCCTGGCCATTGCAGGTGTGTGGATTCAACTTTTTTTTCTTTTTTTTTTTTTGGTGCCTTCAAGTCAGTGTTGACTCCTGGCAACTGTCTGGAGTTTTCTTGGCAAGGTTTTTCAGAAGTAGTTTGCCATTCCCTCCTTCCTAGGGCTGAAAGACAATGACTGGTTCAAGGTCACCCAGCTGGCTTTGTACCTAAAGTAGGACTAGAACTCACCGTCTCCCAGTTTCTAGCCTGGTGCCTTAACCACTACACCAAACTG